AGAGAGAGAGGGAGGGAAGCAGGCTCCCTGCTGAGCAGAAAGCCCGATGCGGGACTCGATCCCAGGACCCTGAGTTCATGACCTGAGCCGAAGGCAGCCGCTTAACCCACTGAGCCACTCAGGCCCTCAGTCTCTTGATGTAAATGTAAATCTAATCCAAAAGCACATGCTTAGACACACCCAGAATGATTTTCGACCAAATATTTGGGCATCTTGTGGCTCCGTCAAGGTGACACTTAAAGTTAACCGTCATAGTACTTTTAGGATCTTGTTACTCAGAGTGTGACCTGTGAAACAGCAGCATTTTCATTACCTGGGTGCTTGAGCAGAAAGGTCTCAAGCCCTGCCTCAGACTTGCAAGACCCCGGGATCATGACCCAAGCTGAAGGCAGACGCTTAACTGACAGAGCCACCTAGGTGATCCCCACCCCCAGCTCTGCCCACCGGTCTACATTTTAATAAGAACCCTAGGTAACATGAATGCACTTTGCTTGAGAAGCACCCAAACTATATGCCACAGATAGATGACAGATCCTGGGGAATTTGTTTGGCTTACAGCACATAGTTGGTTCTTTCCCTTGTCTTATTTATTAATTTTTTTGGACGTGAGTTATAACGTGTGTTTATGTCCTCTAATACATGCCCATTTGTTTTACTAGTAAGTTTGTGCTCCTACCTGCCAACAGTTATTAGGTGCATTTTAAGCATATATGAAAACAGAAATTTCAAACAGACCTGAAGGTGCAATAAATCTGATCTCAAAATTGGTTGCAAAGTGTGATGATGTCATGCAATCATCAGTTGGTTTCTCAAAGCTTGACCATTAATAAACAATTCATATTTTGAATCCTTCTCATGAGACTTTGGATTGTTTTGGGCTGGCTTTGCTTTGATCTGAATAGACATCATGTTTAACCTTGCGACGAGCTAGCTGTGGCAGAGGGTGGGGAGAGTCAACTCTGTTGTATTCTTGGGTTTGCTCTGTTAATGTGATCTTCAGGCTGTGGATTTTGGGGGGACATTTTTAAGCCACACGCCTGCTTGATGATGGTTAACCTACTTGCAAGTAGATAGGTAATTTAGCCGCATAGTCCCTTTCGCGGTGCTCAGAGCTGGATGTAGCAGATGAACCCTAATGATGGTGCCGCTGCCAGTCTCCCTCCTGGGCCTGAGGTTCCCAATTCTCACTGTCTGATGTGGGCAATTCAAGGGAGGGCTCCAGCATCCATACACACATGACATTGATTTCTTACTTGAACCCCTAAAGACCACACACAGAAGTTCTCGGATTTCCTTTCCTGATGCTGAATCATTTTATGTGGTCCCTGAAATGAGCGGACCATACCTTGCAGACTGCTTTTCCAGGATATGGAGGCCTTTTAGGAACCCTCATTTCCATTGCACAGTCTGCGAGGGGCTGCCTTAGGAGAAAAGCAACCTTGGCTTCTGGGCTGGATTTTCAAGAATTTCCAGACTCAGGAGAAGCCCAAGGGATCTGTAGAAAGCAGTGCCGACCAAGTTTGTGGTCATTTGTCCCAATGACTTATTTTGCTAACTTCTTGAAAGCCTGAATATTTTGGAATTCTTGCGTGGGGAAACTCCTTAGAGAATCTGGCTGCCTGTTCAAGAGAAATGCACAAAATTTTCATTCAATTCCAGAGGGGCTCCGAGATCCCTTGAAGCTCATGATAACCTGTTTAGAAGGGAAAAAGGCAAATTAGGGTTAGAGGGCATGTACCCTTTGCCTCAGACATTCCTTTCCTGTAGCCCTGTTTAGTTTTAGATGCTGCTTACAGCACAGAGCTGGGAAGGAGGCTGAACTCCAATGTCAGGGACACTCAGGTTTGTATCTTGGTCCCTGCATCGATGAGCTGGGTTAATTTGAGCAGCTTTTTGCTCCATAGAATGGATAGGAGAAGCCTCACCTTGAATGCCCCTCCTTTTGCCCCTTCTTTATTGGCCATCTTCCAGCTTCATTGGCTTTCTTTCTGGTACCTCAAATATTCAATCTCTTTCCTGCCTCAGGGCCTTTGCACTTGCTGTTCCCTCTGCCAGGAAGGTTCTTTCCATCTTTATGGGACCAATTCCTCACCACTCAAGACTCAAGTCAAATGTCTCCTCCTCAGGAAAGCTTTTTCCTGACCACCTTATCTCTCCTTCTCTCTTTATTTAGAATTTTTAAAAAGTGTACAATTCAGTGATTTTTTTTTTTTTTTGCATAGTCACAAAGTTGAACAACCAACACCACTCTGGGATCCCAGAACCTATTCATTATCAAAAGTCTGTATACATGAATGCAGCAGCCCCAGTCCTCCCTCTCTCCAGACCCTGCCACCACCACTCATCTACTTTCTATCTCTATGGATTTGCCTATTCTGAACATTTCATATAAATAGAATCATCTGCTCTGTGGCTTTCTGGGTCTGGCTTCTTTGCAGAGGATCAGGTTTCCAGGTTCCATTCACGTTGTACCCGGCGTCAATACTTCATTGCTTTTCATGGCTAAATCATGCTTTATCCCATATCTCCTGTTTTGTTTGTCCCTCCATTTGTTCCTTTATTTGGGTTGGTTTCCACTCTTGGGCTGTTGGGAATAATGCTGCTATGCACGGGTGTCTCTTGATCCTGTTACACTTTTTTTTTATTTTAAATTTTCGCAGTTCTCGATTTATTTAACATGCATTCTTCTTATCGTGTCCCCTAGAATATAAGCTCCAGGCCGGCAGTGGTCTTCTCCACCTTGCATATTGCTGTATGCCCAGAGTCTTGAACAGTGCCTGGCACAGAGTGGGCGATACATGTCAGTTCCGTGAAGGAATGAAGGAAAGAATGGGACAATTGCTGTTCTCTTGTCTCTTGGAGGACTCAATCTTTCCCTCTAATTCATGTGGGAATCTTGTCATCGTCTCATCACCCTGTGAGCGAGCACTCCGCCACGCCGGGGCCTCTGCTGCCCTAACAGAGTCTCAGACTTGAACGTGCAGCAGAAAACGCAGGTAGCTGGGCCCTGCCTGCCTCTGGAGTTTCAGAGTCAGCGGGTCTGGGTGGATCTGGAAGTTTGCATTTTAACACATGCCAGGGCGAGGATGTTGCTCCTGGTTGGTGGACCACTATCTGAGAGTCGGGGCTCTAGGGGGGTAAATTTCAGCAGGCAGCCTGGGCCTGTCGCGTTCAGAGGTGGTTATGCATGGGCCTCACTCAAAGAGTTCACCTTGCTTCTCTGTCTCCCTTTGTTGTGGACTTGGAGGGTTCTGGTAGGGGAAGAGCGTCAGGATGGGTCTGAAAACATGGCAATATGGCTTGGAGGGGTGGACCCCTGAGAGGAGGCCTGGATGAGTACTGTGTACGGAGGCAGGGGTGGTGCTGACCATCGAGGTGCCCCTAACCAGGGAAGTGGATAGTCAGGGCTGATTCTCTGCCACCCTGAAACCACGGCATGAAGGAAGTTTACATTTCTCAATATGGCTAGCCCCCATGTTGTGCAAAGAGAAAGCAACATGAGGTTTATGGCAAAAACAATGTTCAAGTCATTATTCACACCTGTGCAATTTTATACCTGCAACAGTGTGTACCATTCAAGGGTAATCACATCTAAATAAAGACATGATGGAGAGCAGGTGAAGAGAAGTCAATGTGTTGGTGAGTTCTGACCTTAGGAGAGATGCCCGTTGACAGCTGTCTCTCTTCTGTTCCATGTGCGAACACTGAGCGGCTTGGCTAAGTTTATGTCTAATTCTGAAGGTTCTGGTTGAATTGGGTGCCAGCCCCCTCCCTCGCCCATCACCCCTTAAAAAAAGTCTTTTATAAGGTCCTGATCTTGTGGTCCTGGTAACGTGACCTGATTTAGACATGGGCTTGTTGCGGATGTCGTGATTTAAGATGAGGGTACCCTGGAGCAGGGTGGGCCGCTAACCCAATATGACTGGTGTCCTTGAAAGAGAACGTGGGACACACACCAGGGGAAGATGGAGAATTCCGGCAACTGGGAGAAGCCAGGAGGAATCAAAGCGAGGAGTCCCCTACAGGTTTCCCGAGGGGTGTGGTTCTACCGACCTCTTGATTTTGGATTTCTGGCCCCAGAAGCATGAGACCATAATTTCTGTGGTTCGAAGCCACCTAGTGTGTGTTATATTGTTACAGTAGCCCTGGGAACCCCACACAGCCCCTTAACACCCCTCACCTTGTTGTCTTACTTGTCGGGAAATAGTAAAATATATCAGCCTTTGGCTGAGCGTCCATGAGATTAAACAGGATGATAACTGGGAAGGGCCCAAGACATAGCTGGTGACTCAGGTTGTCTGCTTTTCCCTCCATCCCAGCTCCTGACTGAGAGGGGCACCAACGTGGAGTGGGGCCGGGTCACACCAAATCCTCCCTAGCTGCTGGAAACCCAATGCATGCAGGGTACAGAGCTGTGCCTCGGCTCTGGTTCAGCCCTGGACAACTGGCTGTGTGACCTTTATCAGGTTAATTCACCTCTCTGAGCCTTTCTTTGCTCATCTGCAGAGAAGGAGTAATAAACCTCAGAAGGTGTTCATATGATACTTTGTTGAATTAAGGCATGTGACGCGATTAGGATAGGGGGTCAGCTTATGGTAAGTACTCCAGGGATGTTATTTGTTGCTAATAGTGGGCCATCATGGTACATGATGTGTGGGATCTACCATGAGCTATGGAGGGGGGGGGACTAAGTTTATGGGGCACAGACATATTACATAGATTCTTCATTGGATCTTCTCAATAACTCTTTGAGGTGGTCGATGCTGCTTTCTCATAGCTGTTGTGCGGAGCGTGTGGACTGTTGTGCACAAAATCCATATGTAACCTCTAATTGCAGCGATCTTTTTTACTTCCTCACATCTTTTCCTCCCTCCCTCCCCTAACTAGAATGGTAGGTCTGTGGAGTCGAGGCCTTGTCTTCCTAAGTCCAGTGCCCCGAGCACAGCAGGTGCCAATCATTGTGTTTGGAATGAACAGATTTAAATTCTTTCTTCTTTCAGGGCCCTTGCAGATGTCATGCGGCCCCAGGGCCACTGCAACACTGACCACATGGAGAGGGACCTCAACATTGTGGTTCATGTCCAGCATTATGAAAACATGGATACCAGAACCCCCATAAATAATCTTCGTAAGTACAGTCGTGCGGTCCTTTCCCAGCCCCGCCTGGTGACCCATGCAGGGGTCATGTGTCTAGATTTCGTGGTCTGTGTTTGGGTTCACGAAGAGCTTTTCTGTTTGCTGACTAGCTAGAAGTTTGATTTCATCTGTCTGGGATGAAGCCCTGTTTGGTATTGTCAGATTTCACTTGGTTTGTTTCTCTGTTAAAGAGCGAACCCCTTGGTTAGTTTCTTACGGTTGGTTCTCCTGTTAACGAATGGCTCTCTTGGTTCGTTCATCATGGTTGGGTACCTTGGGTCACCGATGGGTGACTTGGTTGGTTCATCCGAGATAGGTAATCTGTTAGCCATTTTAGTGGTTCCTCTTGATGGGGGATATCGGTGAGATAGGGCCCATTTGCTTATTTGTCTATTTCTTGAGGTGACCTTTATGTTTCATACTATTTTCACTGAACTGATAGTAGTTCAGTAGAATATGATCTCCTTTTCATCAAAAGAGAGTTTGGCAGAAATACATCACAAACTACCCTGTGTGTGTATGCACCATGTTTGTGTGGGGGGCGTTCAGTTGCGGTTATGTTGTTTTGGGATGGGTACGTGTGATTCAACTGTAGCAAATTCCCTTCCATTTTTCTGCTGGGGGAAAAAATGCTACATTTGCTATTATGTTTCAGTAGGAATTCTTGGGCGTCTCTGTATGCTCCCTCAATTTTTCTTTCCTTTCAAAGGTCTTTATATATGACATATGATGTTATGGAACTGATGTACTGACTAATTGGGGGGCGGGGAAGCAAGATTGTTTAGTTTTTGACAATAGTGTACTCCCGTGTTTATTCCTAGCAATTATGTTTTCAAGTAACTCCCACATTAAAGTAACGTGGAGGGCTTGGTTTAAAGTAACAAAAGCCAGACAATGTAAAAGACCCATTTAGTTGTGGCTGCTTTGGCTGAAACTCCGCTACCAGAGTTGCATTGGGGTTTTATTTGCTGAATCATCGTTTTGGACTGTTTGGCTACGAATTTTTACGCTCGATGCGTAGAGGAATGAATCTCTGGTATTCGATAAAGGTGATGCAAAGTCTCTGATTCTGCCTGCTGATAATTTTTCAAAGCCTTGGGGAAATGTTGCGGTATATTTGAAAAGTCAATGTTTACACAGTTTGCCAATGGGCCACTGAATAGAATGTCTGAGTTGTCATTGTATTAAATAATTTGACATTATGTATTTATGAACCGGGTCGTAGAATGGCAGGAGAAATAGCCACATTTTGGAGCAAAATGCATCAGCAGTTGGAAGTTTTATGACCGAATCTCACAGCCCTGAAAGTTACAGTTAATTGCACCAACTGTGACACGGCAGTTGCGGAGCCCAAGTCTGGCTTTGATGGAAATGAGGACATTCTCTGAAAGGTGTCCCTGGGAAATCAGTTGAAGCTAGATGTATGTTGGTTCCAGCCATGGCAGGTGAGCAAATGCCATCATGGAGGAGACAAAGTTGAAATGGTGTTGAGTTCCTGGCTGCTCCAGGTGACTGTCAACACGTTTCTCATGTGACGTTTCAATCTTTACGATGATTTTTGAACCAGCACTCAATTGCAATAAAAGACTCATTGAAGTCACTCACGTTTCATCATGGCATCAGGCAAAAGGACAAGGGACATTAATGAGTCTTGTTTCAATAAGGGACTTTTGTTTGAAGTTGTACTGAAAACAAATTACTGCTCAGAGATGGGTGTCCCAGTCACTGAGTAATTCACAAGTCTCTTGTGACAGACTAACTGGATTTATTTACGATTCTTGCTTTTAGTCTGTGTCTCTCAGTCATCATTGATATTTATACTCATTAGAAGAAATGTGTCTTGTAAAATTCTACTGGGTAGAACTATACCAGAGCATTCGTGGGAGACTATGGAAGAGAGTTCCAGGTGCATGCCAACATTGCACTCTTGCATTAGCAAGATGTTAATTTCACATATTGCTGCTGGGTTGATCCAGTCCTTATTTCCTAGAATTCTTGGGCACATCTGGAAAATAAGAAGCATATAGCCCTTCCACAGATTTATATCAGTCAGTTCACTTTTTGTGAATAATTAAGTGCTTGGTAGTAATGATAGGCTTCCTTGGAATGATTTTGCCTTTTTATTGATTCACAGGAGCTATTTATATATTATAGACACAGAGAAAATTTACATGTTCAGGAGAAGGAATGATTTGGGGAGTTCACTGAGAGGATAAGCCTTGATGACTGGTGTTTATCAGTTATCAGGGGTTCAAGAAGCCATGCAGCTGACCCAGCCCATTTTGACCCACAGAGAACTAGAAGAGAAGGAATCCAATCCAACTGAGAGTTCTTGGTGCAGAGTTAGAATGCATCTATTGAATATAAAAACCTTCTCTGGACATTGTGGAAATGAAGAAGATTTACAATGACAAAAAATTTGTGATATACCAAAAAGGAGCCCATCGTGCCATTGTTGGGGCGTTCTTCATTAAACAGTCAAGTGACCATATTTGACTGAGAATTCGATAGCCCAAACTTGAATGTCACTTTTGTCTTTATTCAGTGACCCACTTGACAGCTTTTAGAGAATCCTCTTCTCCATCTATTTCTCTTTCTTCATCTTAATATTAATGCTAGACCCCTTTCTGGTCTTCCCATTGTGCTTTGGTCCAATGCTAAGAGAATGAAAAGTCAGTGGATAATTCGAAGGAAGGGAGTAGAGAAGGACTAAGGTAGAGGCACGTGGAAGGGGGCAGAAAGCTTCCATGTGGGGCAATTTTGCCAATTTTCCTTTATAAATTTCCTAGGGTTGATTTTTCCTGATAGGCAAGACTTGTCTTTTTATCTGAAGACGGATTTTTCTTCAGCTGATGCCGTTCATGTTCTTTCCAGGCATTCAGTGATATTGCCTAAAAATATTTAGTCTGATAATCAAAAGGGCCTCGACCTCTTTGATGAACAGGATGTAGATTCAGATGAGATAGTGATTTTTTCGCAAACGCTCTTCAGCTTCTGTATAATTATAGTTTGCTTTTGAAGGCACATTTTGTCCTCAAGAGCTATGAACGTGCTGCTGTCTCCCCCACCCCAGCCTCGCAGCCTGCCAGTGACACTCCCCATCCTTTCCGGGAGTGCGGGGTAAATATAGGCTCCCTTTCGTCTTAAGAATGGGCGATGGGAGTGAGGGCCATGGCTACAAGGAGAAAGTCCAGACCAATGTCTCTCAACTCATTTGTGTAAACAGAACACTTTTTTTTTTTTTTAAAGGCAGTTTCAGTTTTGGAATAATTTCATATTTACAGAGAGGTTGCAAAGATAACACCCAGAGTTCTGTATACTCCTCACCCAATGCGAACATCTTACATTGCTGTGTACACCTGTCAAAACAAAGAAATCAACATTAGTATGTTATTTTTAGCTGTGCTGTGTGGATAATGTTTGAATTTCGCGGTGTTTCTTCACGTACGTCCCTTTTCGGTTCCAGGATCCACTCCAGGATATTGCATTGTATTTAGTCCAGCCGACTCGATAGTAGAATTTTGGTTGGCAGTATTGTTTAACGATGTGGTAAAGACTGAAAACAACCCGAAAAATAAGTCAGCAGCAATTACAAAGCCTTTATTGCCATAGTATAAAAAGTGTCTCCCAGTGTCTATAAAAACAGCCACATAAAACTATTCACCTGGTCACTGTTGGAATTGAACCCGTTTGATGTACTGACTATGCTCTCACATAGACATGTGGGACAGAGGACCCTCCCATTCCACGCAAACATGCAGCCCTTCTTTGGAATTGGATGGATGCCCCCCCCCCCCCCCCCCGCATTTATTTAGCAGCATAACGAGCAGGAGAGCTCTCACCCTGAACTGAAGAGAAATGCTAACTTGACGTTTCAGGATATAGAATCCACCAGAAAGACTGGGCTCCCCTTCCAGCCTCACCCCACCCCCTCCTGCCCCAGGACCATTCCCAAGTAGGTTTACAAAGAACTAAGTGCAAAGTAGATTCACTGTTTAGCTTCTGAAGATTCCGCACAGCTCATGTCTAGGGCCAAATGAATTTCCATTCATTTGTCTGTATTTACCAAGGTACCCGGATGTTGCATACTTGACTTTTGGAGGCACTGGCCCGGATATTTCCAAACATCTTTTCAAAATCAGGGGACTTTCCTATTCAGGGCAGGTGTGTAAGATTCACATATATGTAAGATAGTGAAATATTAACAGTAACTTATATAGACAGCATTCTAAACTCCAAACGCATGGAATCTTGAAAACCTTATTAGGTTGGTACTGTTGTTTTGACTTCATAAAGTGAGGAAACTGAGAATCTGAGAGGTTAAATGGCTTATGCATGGTGTGTCCAGCTACTCAGTGATGGAGCTGGGATTTAAACAGGGCCAGGCAGACCCTGAGTGTCCTGGCTCCCAGGGCCTCCACGCTTTTATGTCTTACCCCCAGAGCCTCATTGGAGAGGACTTCCTTGTCTCCCTCTGGCCCCCAAGTCACCTACTGTTCCCCATCTCCCCATTATTTTCTTCATAACTTTTGTTCCCTCTGGAATTGTCTTCCTCATTATTTATGCCTATAGCATAAACTCCATGAGAACAAACACTTTGTACTGTCATAGCGGCCCCACATGCTGTGGGAACCGGGCTGGCTCACAGCAGCAGCCCCATATGTTTTTGTACAATGAATGACAAAGCCCATGGAAGGGGTATTGCAATTCCTGTTTTATGACAGAGAAAACGGGGATTTATGGAAAGGGAGGAACTCACCTAACGTGATGGCTGAGATTTACTTTAAAAATCACCAGGAAAATATAACATTGTGGGGCATGGCAGATGAAACAGGAGAGGGAAAATATTATTGTAGCTGGGTGACCTGATACAGAGGGGTTCATTCTGTCCTTGTGTATATTTGAAAATATCCACAATAAAATTTAAAATGAAAGAACTTGTCCGCAGTGTCCTAGTTAAAAGATGGGGGAAGTAGGATTTATACGCAGGTC